CCCAGGTTATGCGGTGGGGAGCGGGGCCGACCCCCAAAGGTGACGCCGCGGCGGCAAGGGTCAACCCGTCACCCGAGTGTGCGGGGCGCGAAAAAAATTCGGCACTCCTTGGAGGCAGTTGTAAAGGTGGGGGGCGGCCAACATGCCAGAGTGAAAAGGTGAGCTGACGTTGACAGGCGCAAGCAGCCGGCAGGGGAATAAATCCCGCTCACGGCCTCAAGGAGGAAAATCGCGTGGTGGCAATTGGCGCAATACTGTGAAGGTGAAGAGGTGTAGAGGTGTGGAGGTACGTTGGACCCTTCCCTGCAACCGTTTTCGTTGGCCGAGGGGCTGCAGGGAGGTCCTCGGCCCCCTCCGGTGGCAATTGGCGCCATCATGAAAAGGTGTGGGTGGGGAACCCACGCAGCCCCTATGATGGAATCTGCGCGGGGTGTGAGGCCTATGATGGTCCTCGGGGGTAAGGCCTAGAGACGGTCCTCACCCGGGGGGGGGGGCGAGACGGGGGGGGGCGCGCGCGTCGAGGTGGTTCCTGATGACAGTCCTGGTGAAGGATACCTGAAGCGGGGGAGCACCAAGATGGCATACACAGCTTCGACACCGAAACTTAACTGAATATGCCCGCGCACTCGTTATCCCAGGGATTGGGATAAGAGGCGCCGCGCGGCGTGCCGCGGCCATGGCAGGCCTACGCAGACCCTTCTACGTGGGCGGACCTGGCGACAGCCAGCCCGGCGGAGGGGAGGGGAGGGAGGAGGAGAGAGAGAGCGGGAGCGGAGACCGCGTAGGAGGCATGCAAGGCGCACGCGCGTGTCCACATGGGTCTGCGACAAGGGTCGCGACGGAGCTGATGGCAAGCCACCGATCCAATAACCCCGATGCCTCAGAACGACCGCGATTGGTTATCCATGTCGATCGATGAACTCGGTTGTCCGGTTGTCCTGTTGTCCTCTTTCCGGCTGGCGCCGGTTGAGAAACCGAGTCCCGATAATAGAGCGCGTCTTAGCCACACTGTTGCCGACTGTGATGCGGTCTCTACCTCTCAGCCGAAAAGGCATCGACTGTACAAACAACGGCACCCAAGAAAGGAAGCACGCTCGCAAGGCAAGCTGGGATGGGTGAATACGCACAGATGCAGCGACCGACACCGTGAACTTTGTCACAGATCAGATATGTCTGCCACAGCTAAGTTCTCCTGACCCAGCGAGGCGCAGGCTCAACCTTGGCTGAGTGGCTTTCTCTGCAGGCATCTCGAGAAGCACACCGGGACCTTTTGAGCGAGGGCACCTCTGGAATCACCACGCCCGCGGGCGCGTATGGTTCGCTGGCGGCAGAATTCCTCAGGCCCTCTTGCCACCGCGACGACCCCTCGCGCTGCTGCCAGCCTCGGCGCGCGACTCCGACAGCCTCTGCCGAGGCAGCTGGAAGCGGCGGTCGGGGGCAGCGCCACCGGCGGCGGCAGCGTGAAGGAGAGGGGCGCCCAGCGCGCCAGCGCCACGGGCGAGCCCCAGGCCTCGTCGTCGGCGCGCGACATGAACGCGGCGGGCGCGGGCAGGACGCCAGCCTCGTCCTCCGCGGCGCGCTGCGAGCAGACGGCCGGCGTCGGGACGAAGTCGTCCTCCTCGTCGCCGCCGCAGTCGGCCTCGAGTCGGGCCGCCACCTCGGACAGGGCCACTCAGGCGCCCGGCAGGCCGAGGCTGCTGGAGGGGCAGGACTGGGCCCTGCGCTCCGCCAGCGCCTCGTCCACCATCGAGGACACCTGGCCAGCCACGGTGTCGATGAACGTGTTGCGCACAGAGAACTCGGGCGCGGGACAGGCGACCTCCGGCAGCGCCGCGGAGGGAACCGCCGAGCTGGCGCGCGTGGAGGAACCGGCGGAGTTGGTTTTGGACGCGGAGGTGGCGGGCTCCTCCTCCTCCTCCTCCTCCTCCTCCTCCTCGCAGCGGCCGCCGGGGCCGCGCGCGCCCCGCACCCGCTGCCCGGGCACGAGCGCGCCGCGCGCGAGGCGAAGGCCGAGGAGCCCAGCAGCGAGGACGGCTCGAGGTGCACCGGGACCACAAACGTGTTCTTGACCAAGAAGGGACAGCGGAGAAAGGTACTCGATCTCCGGCATCCCCGCGAGCGCAGAGCCGGCGGCGGCCCGGTCGGCGTGAGCGGCGGAGAGCGGAGAGCGGCGTGCTCGTATGCGTGCGCGCTGAAAAGAACGCAATCTGAGGTCCTGGGTCTGGAGCGCCTTGAGCCACATTCGTCTTGAGCCAGCACCAGCACCGTAATTATCATCATCATCATCAACAACAACATCATCAGCAGCATCATCATAATCATCATAACCAGCATCGTCATAATCATCATCAGCAGCAGCATCATCAGCATCATCATCAGCATTGTCGTCGTCGTCAGCAGCATCATCAGCATCACCATCAGCATCTGCATCAGGATCATACTCATCATCATCAGCATCATCAGTAGCAGCATTCAGAAGCATCATCATCACCAGCAGCCTCTTCGTCATCAGCATCCACCACCACCACCACGAACATCATCACCATCATCATCAGCATCAGCAGCACCATCGTCATTATCATCATTGTCATCATCAGCAGCAACATCATCATCATCAGCATCATGCTCATCAGCAGAAGCACCAGCATCACGATAAGCATCATCAACATCATAAGCATCATCATCAGCGTCATCAGCATCAACAACAACAACAACATCATCATCATCAGCATCACCATCATCGTCATCATCGTCGTTATAAACATCATCATCAGCAGTATAAGCATCAGCATCAGCATCATCATCATGATTATCATCATCATCTTCACGAGCATCATCGTCACCATCACCATCGTCTTATCATCATCGGATCGTCATCATCATCCTCGTCATAATCGTCATCATCACCATCAATACCATCATCAGCGTCGTCATCGTCACACTCATTGTGACTGATCATAATCAGTATCGTGATCATCTTCAGCATCGATATCAAAATACTCTGGGGCAGCATCTTATCGTCGCCATCCTCTTCATCATTATCAACAGCCTGTCAATCTTCATGATCCTGAGCATCATCATCAGAAGCAGCAACACCAACGACAACATTCAACATCGTCGTCATCATCATCATCATCATCATCATCATCATTATTGTCATCCTCATCAGCATCCGCATCCGCATCATAATCCTCATCATCATGATCATCCTCATCAGCATCCCTATCATCATCAGCAGCATCCTCATCATTGTCATCACCAGGATCATGATCACCATAATCATCAGCATCCCCATCATCGGCATCAAAATCATGATTATGGTCAATATCAGAATCATCATCAGCAGCAGCATCATCATCCTCATCATTATCAATATCATCATCATCATCATCATCATCATCATCATCATCGTCACCAACAACTTCATCCTCATCATCAGCATCCGCATCCGCGTCCACATCCTCATCCTCATCATCACCATCATCATCATGATCAGCAGCAGCAGCAGCATCAGCATCAGCATCAACATCATCGTTATCAACATCCGCATCATCATGGTTTCCGTCGTCATCAGCATCATCGTCGGAGCAACAGCATCATCATCATCATCAGCAGCATCGTCCGTATCATCAGCATGGTCAGCATCATCATCATCATCATCAGCATCATCATCGTCATCATCACCATATTCATCATGATCATGATCACGATCCTGATCATCATCATCACCATCACCATCATCATCACCATCACCATCACCATCACCATCACCATCATCATCATCATCATCATCATCATCATCATCATCATCATCATCATCATCATCATCATCATCATCATCCCCCTCCCGCTGCCCCTCGCATTTCCTTTCCCCCTCCCCCTCGCCCTCCCTTTCCCTCTCCTCCGCCTCCTCCGCCTCCTCCCCCTCCGCATCCCCTTCTCCCTTCTCCTCCACCTCCTCCTCTGCAATCTGCCTCTCGCATAATTTCCCGCCCTCTCGTTCTCACTATCCCCCGCCCCTCTTGAACCACACCGACACACTCCCACGGGCCAGTACGATTGGATCACACGCAACGCGTTCGCCAGGTACACTGATCGTACCGACGCACCACTGTGCGCGCGCGCAACCCAAGACGGCCCAGGATGGCCCTAATATGCCCCCAAGGCGGCCCAAGAGGGCTACAAGAACCCACCACAAGGGCCCCCCAAAGCTCTGGAGAGGTATGACACTACAGGCAAAGCATGTGTTGCTCAACGTTGTGCCTTTTGCTTATGTTGCTCCCACAGGCACCGAGAGACCTCAAAATAGCCCCACATTTGTCCAAGAAGTGCCCAAAGAGGCGCCGAGATTGCGACAACAGCCCCCCGAGAGACCCCGTGTGAGCAGCCCCGCTTTCAGCGCAGAGACGAGGGCAGGGAGTGTGAGTGTGAGAACCAAAAGAAGCTGCGGGTAAGCTACGGGTACCAGCTGTGAGCGGCTGTGACCCGCCGAGCGGCGGGAGCGTGCGACCTGAAGGCGGGCGGGACAGGCTCCTCCCCGCTCCTCTCTCCTCCTCACTCCTGCCCAGACGAGGAGGGACAAGACGACAGCAAGACAATGACACTCTGAAATCTGAGAGCCGGCGGGCCTTGAGGATGCATCGGGCGTTGCAGCCGGTCCACTCTAAACCGCTCCTGGAGCATAAACGAACTCTCTGGAACGATTGTCTGTAATCTGTAATCCATCGCCTGCCTGCAGCCTCAAGGGAAGGGAGTGTTGGAAAAGCCCATCACGACTTTCAGGATGCCGAAGTGCGGGCAAGACTGGCAAGTCGTCTGAGGGTCGACCAACCCGCGAGTGTCGGACGACACTGCCCCTGCCGTGCTCTCAAGCTGAAGATGGAGGGCAAGCAGGGCACTGCGCTGATGCCTGGAACATCCACTCCTCGCCGCAGCTCGAAGGCGGCCCTGACTCCAAGCGAAGACGGCAGGCAACTCAAGAACGAGCAGATCGGGTGTTCCTCGGAGTCGTCCCCGTCGGTGGAAGTGGGCGGCCCTCGGGAGGGTGGCGCGCTCATCTTCCCGTTCGCTCACATGGGGCCAGCATCGGCTCTGCCTCTCAGCACGTGCAGAGGTCTCGAGAGGGTGCTGCGTGTCGAATGCGGTGTAGGACTGCGGAGCGGAACTTCCAAACCAGCGAAGGCACTCTCACCCAGCCTGGAGGATGCTCCACGCGCTGCCCACGACAAGGCTGTTGCCTCGTTAAACGCGTTGCTGATCCCTTCACTCTCTATCGCTCTCTCTCTCTCTCTACCTCCCCCCCCTCTCTCTCTCTCTCTCTCCCTCTCCTCATGTGTTCATTATTTCTCTCTCTCTCTCTCTCTCTCGCTCTCTCTCACTCTCTGTGTTTTCTCTCTATATCTCTCTCCCTCTCTCCCTCTCTCCCTCGCTATATCTGTCTCTATCTCTATCTCTAACTCTATCCCCAGCTCTCTCTCTCTCTCTCTCTCTCCCTCTCTCCGTCTCCCTCTCTGTCGATTCCTCCCCTCCCCTCCCCTCCCAGTTTCCCTTCCCTCCCAGCCTCCCTCCTCTTTCTGCCCCTCTCCATTCCCATCCCGTTCTACCTGGACTTCCCTCACTTCCCTTAACGGCATCCCCCCTTCTCTTCCCCTCCGAACCTTCGCCCCCGCCCCTTCCCATTGATGGTTCCCTCGCTCCCTTGATCTTGCTCGCCCTCGGCCTTACTCACACCAACCCCAGAGAGAAGTGGTCCAGGCAGGATGGGTACACATACTGCCGACCAAACAGAGGGTCAGGTTCTCCGAGTGTCTCCACTTCCGCGGCAAACTCCACACAACAAACATTAGCCCGAAACGTACCCAATCCCTTCTCCACGCGAGGCGATTCTTTGTATAAACGCGCCATGCGGCAACGCACATCGCCAACTATGCGCGATCAGAATTGCCGTCATCCCCGCCGTGTCTCCCAAGAGTCCATGAAAGCGGCGACAAGTGCGCAATTCGCAACCCCCCAATGGGCTCCGAGGTCTCGGCTGGATCCGCGTGGCCCCCGACTCCGCTGGACCTCCCAGGAGCCCACAAAAGTGGCGACGGTTGTACAGTTCGCAACCACCCAGGGAGCTGCGAAGTCTCAAATGGGTCAGTTTACTCCCCGACTCCGCCGTGGCTGCTAGGGGAAAGTGGCGACTGTTGTGCAGCTCGCAGCCCCCCATGGGACTCTCTGGGGGGCTGACTGAGCGAGCTGCGAGGTCTCAAATGGTCGGTTTACTCCCCGCCTCCGCCATGTCTCCCAAGAACCCACAAAAAAGGCGACGATGCACAATTCACAACCACACAAGGAGCTCCAGGGTCTCGGCTGGATCCGCGTGGCCCCCGACTTCTCCGTGCCTCCCAATCGCCCACGAAAGTGGCAACAATTGCACAGCTCACATCACAAAAACGATTCGCCCTTGTCACACGAACGGCTCACGGAACCGTAAGAACAGACAACTTTCGTTTACGCCCTGACTCCGCCGTGCCTCCCAAGCGCCCACGGAAATGGCGACAGTTGCTAAGTTCGCAGCCACCCAGGGAGCTGCAAGGTCAAAAATGGTTAGTTTACTCCCCGACTCCACCGTGCCTCCTATGCGCCCGCCATAGTGGCGACAGTTGTCGCAGCCACCCAGGGAGCAACGTGGGAGGAGGCAAGAGGATGGGGGGAAGGAGGTGTGCGACCGCAGTGCTTGCTCTGTTCAAAACGAGATCCCAAAACAGAAGAACCTACCCCATCGATTCTCAACCATGCAAGAATAAGCAACCGCTACAGCCGCAACCGAAAAAGTAATAGCAGCAGCACCAGCATCAGTAACACCGGCAGGCCGAGAAAGAATGGGACCGCACGCAACGCAATGGCATTCAACGAAGATCGTAATGGAACGGGTACGCCATCGTTTCTCAACAAACTCCAGGTCAACCACGGCTGCATCAGATGATAACACATCAGCCCGGGGAAGCCATCAAGAACCCCCACTGCGTTATCGTTAGCACCGAAACGAAAAAGAGTTCGAGGGGGCGGGTTTAGCAAAACGATATATTTAGCACCGCACCGAACCGTATCAAATCAATAAGTACTGCCCCCGCCCGCGACTGACATCTATAGTGAAGAGTAGCGGTACGAACGCAAGGGCCATGAACGCCGAAGATGGAAACCTGCAAACACCCTGAAGGGCTGGCCAATGAACACCGCGAAAGACAGGCCGCAGAGGCAATGATGCAAGGGTAGGCACCCTCAGGACATCGGTGAGTCCTTACTGGCTTGAGCTAGGTGGCCTGGCTGAAGCCACACTGGCTACGGAAGCCACTGATTCTCTCTCTCTCTCTCTCTCTCTCTCTCAGGGCCAAATGCCAGGGTGCCAAAATAACGCTTCAGAATGCTGGGTGCGTTGCCGTTTCACCAGAAGGGGAGGGGGGGTCATTAACGGCTTGCCGCGGTCAACAGGGGATATGTCAACCCCTATGCCAGGCTTAATGGGGTTTTCGAATGAGCCAGGAATTTAGGGGCCCAACACTGGGATGTACGATGGGGGGGGGCGTCCATTCTCGATAGGGGCGCGTCCGAACGGCGCCCTTGGGGTATACTTTTCTAAAGGAGGAGGAGGAGGAGCCCCCAAGAGATAGAGAAAAAGAGAGGCGGGGAAGGGGAGCCGGGGAGGAGGGAGAGGCGGCGGCCCTCGAGAGGGGGAAGAAAAGGGCAGCGGGTGGGGAGCGGGAGAGGCGGGGGCCCTCGAGAGGGGGGGGGGTCCGCAGCCAGCGAGCCAGCAGCGGCCGACCGAGAAAGATCTGCCCAGAACTGGATCGCTGGACCCCTCCCAGGGCCACGCGTCCTGGCAGGCGTTTCCAGCCGCGCCCAGCCGTGGCCACGAGCGCGGCCCGGGAGGCCCAGCAGGAGGCCGAGAAGGTCGGGCTCCCGCCCACGAGGTGAGGAGAGAAGGGGTGGCAAGCTACGTGCGCTCGCGCCGTGTCTGACATCCTTAACCTCCCATCCATCCTGGCCTCATCCCTCCCATCTACCTGGCGACGGATGTCGCAGCGGACCTGACCCCCCCAAAATGACATCATCGTATTGTGCGCAATCAGACAAGAGGGCGCATATTGGAGGAGGATGTGGAGGTGGCGAATGAGCATGAGGAGGAGGAAGAGGCGGAGGAGGAGGAGGAGGGAAGAGGAAGAGCAGGAGTGGGAGGAGCAGGAGGGGCAGGAGGACCAGGGTGAAGGGGGGGAGGCACGAAGAGGGGTGAGCCGCTGCGGCGCACCGCGCCCCACGATGAGCTGGGTGGCGGAGTCGGCCGCCTGTGGCGGTCCGGCGGGCGCGAGCACGCGAGCCGAGAGGGAGCTCGCGGGGCGAGTGGGCGGAGCCCTGGCAGCCGACTCCCTGACGTTTTCTTCGCCCTGCGCGTGGACCACTGGCCAGGGGGCGTGACCAGGCTTTGCTTTGCCAGCGCTTCGCACCAGCCAGGCCAAACTCGACGACTTCTTCGCCTCGCGCCAGGGCCCCTCCAGCCCAGGAACGTAACCAGGTTTCGCCATTGCTCCGCGCTGGCCAGGCCAAGCAGCCAGGACAAAGGCACCCTGCTGCACTTCATAAGAGGAGAGGGGACCGAGAGGGGGGAAGGGAGGCGACAGGGGACGAAGAGGACAGAAAGAAAGAGGCGTTGCACAGATACCTGGCTCCTGGCTCACCCAGCTATTGGAAGAACGCACGACAGGGGGGAGGGAGAAGGGACGGGCAGAACGCGGGGGGGGGGAGGGGGCAGGTGAGACGAAGTGGGTGGACCGGAGGCAGGGAGCACAGGAGAGGGTGCCTGGGGGACCCCCGGCCCCCGAGTGACTGGCCTGCACCATGTGCTGGCGAAAGGCTTGGGGTGTCTGCGCCCTGACGCGGGCTCCTTGGGGTCTCCCAAGGCTGTCCTCAGATGAGGGGCGGCGAAGAAAAGAGACTCGGCCTGTAACCACACGCCTGGCCCACGCCCGAAACGAATCGTATCTGGCGCCTCAGCAAGGCACAAGACAGCCACTGCTGACTGGTCCCCGTCTTCGTCGTCCTCGTCCTCCTCCTCCTCCGCCTCCTCCTCCTTCTTCCCTGTCCCTTCCCCTCCCCTTTCTCCTCCTCCTCCTCCTCCTCCTCCTTCTCCTCCTCCTCGTCCTCCTTCTTCTCCTCCTCCTCCTCCTCCTCCTTCTCCTCCTCCTCCTCCGCCTCCGCCTCCGCTTCGGCCTCCGCCTCCGCCTCAGCAGCCCCCTCCTCCTCCTCCTCCTCTTCTTCTTCTTCATATTACTCCTGTTCATCCTCCTCTTCCTCCTCCTCCGCCTGCTCCTCCTCCTCTTTCTCCTCCACCGTCTCCTCCTGCGCTGTCCTGGAAACTGGAAGCTCCTTCAAGGGTTCGCGGTGTTGCTCATGAGCCATAGATCTCCATGGGTGATCCAAGGCGATTGGATCTGCATGCCAGCTGAGCTGACGGAATCGGGCTGGCTCAATACGGTCGTAGGCACGATCTTCCAGCCAAACTCACCGACGTGTTTCACGAGACACAGCGAGGAGGGGGAAAACGGGACAGCGGAGCGGGTCACTGTCGACAGCTAGAGAGAGAGAGAGAGATATCAACTTCTTTGTTGGCGCGAAGGTCCTGCAGCACTGCAGCCAGCAGGTCGTCGCTCTGGATTCGGCCCCGTCCTCTCCCCACGTGCCCGTGGCAGCCGTGTTTCGGAACCTCTTAGGGGGGGGCTCGCTCGGGAAGCCCAAGGCGTTCAAACACTTCCCGTGGATACCGTGATAGGCCCACATTTGGCCAAGTGGTTGGCCGACTGGAGACTTGGGACCGACGAGGTCCCCGATGATATTCCTGGAGCTGTTCGGGAATGGTTCAGCAACTCTGAGGCTTGGCTAGGCGTGTACCATGCTGTGCCAGATGATCAGCGTGGAAGTGTCATGGGTCGTGGGCTGCGTCCTCAGACGTCCGCGGTGCCTGTGCAGACGCTCTGGGATCGGGAGGCCCGCAGGATGTTCAGCCCGCTGACGACGTGCTGGATGACCTTCCAGAGCCTGGCCCGTCGGGGCTCCAAACTGTCTGCGGGCTCCTTGGGACGGAAGGCATGGGGCGCGGCACCACGATGGGCCAGCCCGTTGCTCGACACGGTAGGGGCCATGTTCGCAGAGGAGCCCCCGCCCCTTCGAAGCACCAGGAAGGCGTGTAGCGCCCGATCGAGTAGCTGTTGCGCATCCTGGTCGACCAAATCAGCGGTGGCAGATTGTCGGCCGAAAACTCGATCTGGCCCAACCTGGCCGACTTTGCACAGTTCTTGCAGCGGGCTGATGCGCGAGAGCGAGGTCGAAAATGGAGGACCTGGGCGAAGGACGCGGGGTTGAAAGGGGGAAGGCAGCTCACGCCGATGCAAGCAGCGGCACGCAACCCCCACCAACCTCCAGGACACCACGAGGCCCACTGTCAATGGAATTGAGTCCGTAGCCCAGCTTCTCGACGAATGGCTCCCGACACGGGCGCCGGCGGGGCGCGAGGCGGTGGAACCGTCGTCCTGGGACATAGGCGAGAGTGAGCTGCCCCAGCTCTCCCTGGAGGCCCTGCAAGAGTGTAAGTCCTATACGGAAGGAGCTGGGCTCGGCTGGGACCAACTTCATCTGCGTTTATCCTGCAATTACCCATTAAGTACCAGGTCAGGGGGCCAGAGATTCTCCAGGCCTTCCAGGATGGCCCGCGTTGGATGATTCAGCTGGTCACCAACATTGCGTTCATCCCGAAACCTGAAGGGGGAGCGCGGCCCATTGGGCTGCTTAGCTTATTCATGCAACTCTGGAGTCAGCTTAGACAACAGCTGCGTCGGGCATGGGAGCGCGAGCACAACGTGGAGTTTGTTCCCAACCATCCTGTGGAATTGGGTGCTCATTTTGAAGAGACAATCCCCGCGTTTTCCTTCCTTCCGTCCTCCTCCCCCCTCCTTCGTCCTCCCGTCACGCCCCTCACTCGTCCGCCACACCCAGTACAACGCTTCGTGGCTCCATAGGGAGCTCCACCGAAAGCTCCAGTGGGGGGTGTCCCCATGCGTCCGCCGCACCCAATACAGCGCTTCGTGGCTCCGTAGGAAGCTGCTCACCCAGTACAGCGCTTCGTGGCCGCATAAGTTAAACGATTAGGGTGGCTACCAGACACATTCTATTTCGGAGGAAAATGGAACTGCGACTCACGATTTTAACACCGATTCAGCCACGCACGAACCCCGCTCGAACCACGATCCAACCACGCGGGAACCACGCTCATAACCACGATCGATCAACGCTCCGAACCACGCGCGGGCCCCGCCCGAACCACGCCCGAACCACGCGCGAACCACGCGCGAACCGCGCGCGAACCACGCGCGAACCACGCGCGAACCACGCGCGAACCACGCCCGAACCGCGCCCGAACCACGCCCGAACCGCGCCCGAACAACACCCGAACCACGCGCGAACCGCGCCCGGACCGCGCCCCGAACCACGCCCGAACAGCGCCCAAACCACGCCCGAACCACGCCCGAACCACGCGCGAATCATGCCCTGAACCACGCCCGAATCGCACCCGAACCGCGCCCGAACCACGCCCGAATCACGCCCGCACCACGCCCGAACCACGCCCGAACCACGCCCGAACCGCGCCCGAACCACGCCCGAACCGCGCCCGACCCACGCCCGAACCACGCCCCGAACCGCCCGAACCGCACCCGAACCGCGCCCGAACCGCGCCCGAACCACGCCCGAACAACGCCCGCACCACGCCCGCACCACGCCCGCACCACGGCCGCACCGCCATACCGCGCCATGCTCAGATCCGAATCGCACCCGGACCACGCCCGAACCACGCCCGCACCACGCCCGCACCACAACGAACCACGCACGGACCACGCGCGAACCACGCTCGTACCACGCCCGAGCCACGCCCGAGCAACCCGAACTGCGCCCGAACCAGGTCCGAACTGCTCACGAACCAGGCCTCGAACCACGCGCGAACCACGCGCGAACCACGCGCGAACCGCGCCCGAACCGCGCCCGAACCGCGCCCGAACCGCGCCTGAACGACACCCGCACCGCACCCCAACTGCGCCCAAACCGCGCCCCGAACCACGCCCAAACCGCACCCGAACCGCGCGCGAACCGCGCCGAACCGCGCCCGAGCCGCGGCCGAACCGCGGCCGAACCACGCCCGCACCACGCCCGAACCATGCTCGTAACAGGCCCGACAGGGCAGGGGGCGGGGGCCAGGCGCCGGGGCAGGCGAGCGGGGGCGGAAGCGGGGGCGGGCGTGGGAGCGGGCGCAGCGGCGGGGGCGGGGGGGACAGGGTCGGGCCCGGGCCACGGCGGCGTCTGGGCAGTGCAGGGTCGGGCCCAGGGCAAGGGCGTGGGCGAGGGGGGCCTGGGGCTGGGCGCGGGGGCGGGGATCGAAACCCGCGGTCGGGGGTCGGGGGGCGGGCGGGCGGAGCCCGGGGCGGGGGGCGGGGGGCGATGGGGCCAGGGGCATGCGCAGGGGCGGGGAGCTGGGGCTGAGTGCGGGGGTGGTGTTCGGGCGTGGTTCGGAGCGCGGATCGGGCGTGGCGGGGCGTGGTTTGAGCGTAGTTCGGGCGCGCTTCGCGCGAAGTTCGGGGCGTAGTTCGGGCGCAGGTCGGGCTCGGTTCGGGCGTGTTTCGGGCGTGACGCGGGCGTGGCTCGGGCGTGGTTGGGCGTGGTTCGGGCGCTGCTCGGGCGTGCTTGGGGCACGGCTCTGGCGGGGTTTGGGGCGGGGTTCGGGGCGTGTCGCGCGTGGTCCGGGGCGTGGTTCGGGCGTGGTTCGAGCGTGGTTCGGGCGCGGTTCGGGCGCAGTTCGGGCATGGTTCGGGCGCGGTTCGGGACTGAGCATTTCACCCGAGACATCCTCGAAAGACGCGCCGCGAAGAGATCTCTATATATTTTAGAATTGCCATCTCGCTAGGGACACCCTCGACAAGCTTGAAATCGGAACACCCTTTCGGCGCGCGTTTCTGGAGAACGCCTCGAGCGCCAACCGCCCGAACCACTGCCGCACCACGCCCGAACCACGCGCGAACCATGCGGGGCTTCGCGCGAACCACGCGCGAACCACGCACCGCTCCTTCCAACCCCGCCCCCGGCCCCCGCGCCCCCGCCCCCCGGCCCGCGGCCCTGCCCCCCCGCCCCCGGCCTGGCCTCAGCCGCGGCCCCGACCCCCGCCACCGCACCGGCCCTCCCGGCCTCCGCCTCTGCCTCCGCGCCTCCGCCCACCCGCGCCGCCCCGGCCCCCGGGGCCCCGCCCCCA